TCTCTCAAACTATTCTCAAAATTACACTAAAATTCACATTTTATTCTTGTTTTACATCTGTTTCAGGCATTCGTTCAGCGATTTTAATTAAATAATAAATTATAAGTGATTTTAAATGAGATATTAACACACATTCTGCAATTATTGCTGGAAATACTATATACGTAAACAGAGTTTTAATCAAAAATATATTAGCTTTTATTTATTATCTTTCAATACAATTAAATTAACACAAAGTTTTTGGACAAATAATTCTTTTACCAAATCTAATGATTAGATTTAATGATTTCGTTTCGCTTACAATTAAAATGTATGACAAATAAAGTCTTTTAAAATCATAATTCAAAGGCAATGAAAATGATTACACTTTTTAGGAAATATAAATAAATAAATATAAAATTAAAAGAAATATTGAATGCATTTTAAAACAATAATTGACAAAATTATAAAATATAATAATTCATTGCAAAAGAATTCGTAACCAAATATACAGTATATAAAAACTTGTTCTGCAATTAAATTGAAAAAAATCATAAGCTTCTCATTCAATACACAAAAATAAACATTAATTTAATTAAACTCTAGACTAGTGTTTAATATGTTTTCCATTAAATTAAATTTACTTTTAAATTAATAAACATTTTTGTGACTATTTTTGGTTTTATCACAAATACTGTTTTGAAATACATTTTTCAAAAATTCAGTTTTTTCTTTGAAAGGGTTTGACATTTAAAACTGGAAAACATGCCATCAATTAGTCGGTCGATCATCTGATTCAGCCATCACTTCATCAGCCAATTCAGGATCAGTTGCGTAATAATAATCACAATAATTATCGACAGATCGCTTAACGATCGCCTCGTCATCAGTGGTGTCAACGAATCGCCACTTCTGTCTCTAATAGCGATGAACTGCCGGTAAAGTCTGTTCTGTGTCTCCAGAAGTGTATTCATATTATTATGCAATTCATTCAACTGAGTGTTTGTCTGTTTGTGATAATCGGTCACCGATTCCAACAAATATTTCAGTTTGTCTTTCGGCTCTTTCGACACACTTGTGTTGTTGAGGAGACCATCGCTTTCTGTCGACTCGTGTCCGTCCAGACCGACGCTCGAAGACTCCTCCGAACCGCACGAACCGCTTCTCTGGTATTTATTAAACAACTTTTTGGGCGATCGCAACGCTTCCGGCGATATCTGGTTCTTATCACAAGAAGTTGTGACACTTCCGGTGGACACGACCGCGAGGTTTGGCGTTCGGTGTCTTGTAATGGTTTGTATAACGTATTCGTTTTCGTACTGTTTTACATCTGTCCGGATATCCCACGGCCTGATGTCCGCCGATATGTAGAGCCAGTCGTTGTGATGGCCATCAAAAACGAATAGCTTTGGAATCCATTTCTCCATTTTATTCAAACGAGTTTTGGCCCCATTTCTCTGCTCTTCCTCTAAGACTGTCTTCTCAACGGTGGCCGCGATTTGGTCCTGTCTTTGGATGGCTTGAGTCACTTTCTGCCACAATCTCTCCGATTCCATCTCTGTTTGTTCACTGATGGGAACCACAAACCTCTTGAGGCGACTTTGTTTAACAGCCGGTGTCGGCGACCAAAGCAATTCCGATTCGCCGCTTCGTTTGTCCTTATAATAAATGTCTGAATCCCAATGGCCTTCAATGGTAGCCAGCGTTTCATTGCCCAAACGGATCCGTCCGGTCACGAGATTACATAAGTCGGAAGAGCCGAGGAATGGCTTCAGTTTGAACTCCATTTCCGTGTTATAACCCGTTTTATCGCATCTGATGTTCACTTTGCCGCCCAACTCGAGGGCCAGAGTTCCCAATAGTATGCCTTTGCAGTGCGCGTACGGAAAGGTCACGTAATAATCTTCTCCGCGAGACAACAGTTTGAGTCGAGCGGTTCCGTCCAAAATGGCAGAAATACTGTTCCCATAAAACTTGGATTTGGCTAATATCGAGCCATTGATACAAAAGCCGTCCTTTCGATTGGTGACGAAGAACGCAGAGATCGGCGGGTGATGTGAGACCTGTTCGGCGATGTAAAAGGTCTGCGAATCGGTCTCCGGATGAGACCAATAGCAGCGAAACGTTTCGCCCAGAATCGGATTGTAGGGCTTCTTCAGGCCTTTGGGTTTCTTGTAAAAGCCCGACAAATACCACTTCACTATGAGTTTCATTCGCAACAGTGGGTCCTCTTCTACGACGGCTCTAAACGTTACAAAATTAAAGATAATATTAATTAATTCAATGCATTCCGTGTCGTAATAATGAGCGCAAAATACTTGGAGATGATGTCCGAGTGGTAGTAATAATCGGCGAGTTTGTCGAGAAAGGATCGGGATTCCAGTATAAACGTTGGCAACACTACTTTCGACAGATCCATTCCAGGCCTCACTTGTTTCAACAAAATCCATATTAAGCTCTTGTTTTCGTCGGCCATCTCTTCTGTCTGTCCGGCGCCGCCGGCGATACCGAACTCTTCGTTCCCGCCGTCGAACACGTATTGAGTTTCGCACACTTTTGACTCTTTGTTTTCGATGCCATTCATGTGTCGGTGGATGTGATCGACATCTGAATCGCTGTCGTCGAACGAGTGGTGGTCCTGAGAGTCTCCGCCGTGATCTGTATGGGTCTCATCGTCCAGATCTGTGTTCACACAATATAGTGATTCAAATAAAGAGATCCAAAACAAGAATTCAATGCAAACCGTGATCTCCAAAGTGTTTCTCAATCTCCGATTCGTTCAAAACGAGCGATAGATTCCCAGTGGCTATGAGTTCGGGGAATGTGTGGCCGGAGTCGGGCGTTGAGCTGTTCGGCGCCGGAGTGTTGGGAACCGATTCCCTGTGCGAGAGGTTTCGCATCAAAATGGTTGAGCACTGGAGGGACAGTTCGATGGCTTCCATCCACTTCTTTCCGGCCGATTCTGACGGCGCTCTGAATATCACGTAAGACATCGGCAGCGGAAACATAATTGATTGAAAGCTCTCGCCGTGAGGGCCCTGAAGGGGAGACCGGATGTCACACATCATTAGACACATGTATTGATTGATATATAAATATTTACTCTTAAGAGTAAACACACGACTATTCCTATATATAAATAAATATTTTTACGATAACCGCAAACAATACTATGATTTATGCGTCAAAATAATCACTGTTTACTACGAGAAAACATACAGTAATTTGGCATTTAATTCAATGATTAGATATAACGTGATCTCAATTTTTAGCAATAAATAAATAGTTTTCATTCAAAATCAATTATTGTGTATAAAAGTTGCTGTTTTAGTGGCAAACCATGAATTTATGTAATTAAAACATATATTAAATTAGACGTATGTCAATGTAGAGTATACAACATAATGTCTAATGTAAATCATGGCTACAATTTGTACATAATTTGTATTTAATAAAAATAAAACTATTGCTAAATGATTGCTAAAATCGATAGATTATAAGTTAAGACAAATGCTGTGCTTTTTGAGCAACAATTAACTTAAATACAAATGATATGATTAAAAGATAATCTTAACTAAATATGACACTAAAAACACGACAACAAGAGTTAATTAAAACATTGATAACATTAGACATCAATTGGTTTCATAAAGCAATAGGAAGTGATAAGCTTTGCCAACCTTTGGCGCCCAAATGGGATGCTCTAAGGGGTGGAAGAGTTTAAAGCAGAAGCCATTCTTCTTGGATGGCCTTTGGATGAGTTCGCAGACATTGATGATGATTGTGCCAACCCATGCGCCCGACTTGTGAGTGTTGGGCGACTTGTGGAGCAGAAGTAACCCGGGCTTCAGTTCGCACCAAAACTTGTTCCACTGCTTCAGCGTTGAGCGCACTTTCAGCCAATCGGCGGTCACGACGACCGTCGGGTCCTGAAGCGTGTCCTGAAGGCAGGACATGAGCTCTTCGGCCACTTTCTTCTTCTCCTTGCGATAGTTCTTTCGCCGGTCTTTATATGTCTGGCGTTTGTTGAGAGCGAATGAGAAGGACTCGTCGCCCACGAGAGCCGATCCCGTCGACAGTGAGGGCGAAGACATGTCCGCTGAGGGAAGTGACAGAGAGGGCGAAGTAGCCATCGATGCCTCAGTCCATGGACTCCATGCCATCTATTGCACGAATGCAAGCATTCAAAGCACAACACAAACAACGAGTCGTCCCAATCAAAGGGGAAGGGCTTTAGATAACGTCAACTAGAATTACCTTTTAATCATAATTTACCTAAAGGTCAATTTACCGGTAATAATTACCTGGTAAATTTACCCACATAAAGCTCACTCAATTAAGATGGTGATAGCAAAAAATGTCCCAAAATTTTAAAAATGTGAAGTAAATACTCATAATACCCTCATTTATAAATTACATAAATTCCTTCAAATATAAATTACGTAAAATTACCCTAAAATTACGGTAATTGAAGGTAATTTATATAACTTACTTAAATGACCCTCACCCTACAACTAGACTTCCAACTCTATTTCCCTCTTCCCTAAAGAGATGCCATTTCCCGATAGAGTCTAAAGTCAAGTGAAGTATCCTTTTATTGCAATCATTATCAACAATGCAATTAAAATTTTTACAATTATATTACAATTTGTGTTTTTATATACCATACATATTTCATATACTATTGGTATCGTAAAATAATTTAATTACACTTTATTGAATGCTGAATGAATGAAACTAACACACAAGTTTGAAACTATTTCTGAAATTATTTTTTAATAGAAAAATAATTTATTGAAAAAATTAAATTTTTAACGCAGGCAAGAGATATGTTATACAGCGATAGGCGTCGTAATATAAATAATGTAAAATGTGTGAAAAATTAAAAGTTAATAAAAGTTTTGTTACAGAAAACAATTTCAAAATCAGTAAGCGGTTTGGGTGTGAGCTGTGGTCTCAATGGTATGTCAGAGTGAAGGCAAGGGAATTGAAAAATAGCAAAAGTTGCATGTCTAGTCCAAACTACAACTACAACCTAGGTTGTCAATATTTTCAGATGACATCAATGATACCGTATCATGTAATGCACACCCATTTAATTACCGAATTACGCCACACATACTGTCTGTGCATTAAATGCACAAATTTTGTGTGACTCTTTGATGACGTTATTGATTGCCATTCATGGAAACCATAACAGCCTATAATAGCCATGAATTGTGCATATATTGCGTGAAACCATAAACTTTGAACTCATAGACAACGCATTCATTATCACCAAAACCACCGAAGAATGTCTTCGCTAAACAATTCCAGTTACTATCAGTCACTGCCGACTACGGGTGCGGTCGCCGTCACCAATGATAAGGGGGAGAAGACTATGCAGAAGGTGAAGGTCCAGAGATACATCACTGGCCGCAGGTATGCATCCATGCGATCCATGCGATCCACGAAAACCATTCATTTATTTATATATAATTTATTTCTCTCTCCCGAAGACCGCGTTTCGCCACTAATAAGGGTCAGACGTCCAGCGAATCGGAAGAGAGCGACGAATCGGACAATGAGTTGACCACTAATTGGAGGAATAGTTCCCAACAGCAGCAGCAAAGAGGGCAACAATTGAGCGCTCAATATGTGGTGAAGACCGAAGACAGTGACCACGAGATCGAGTATAAACCAAATGATCCACGAATTCGGCGAATGATGTCTCGAAGGGATGTAAAAACGGAAGACTCGGACGAAGAGGAGGACACCAATCGTAGGCACAATCGACGACACGTTCTTCAGCCGCAGATATTATCGTTGGGAACAACTGATGACAGAGAGACCGCCGAAGACGCGAAGAGTCGCCGAAGAAGTCGACGCGAGACCGAAGACACGAGTTCTGAGGAAGAGGTGGACGACGAGAACGTCGAGCGACGACACGAAGCGTTGCGATTGAAACGAGAGGAAGAAGAGGAGGAACTCATGGCTAAGGATGAGGACGAAGAGGAGGAGGAAGAAGAGGAATCGGAATACGAAGAGTACACGGATTCGGAGGACGAGACGGGGCCTCGACTTAAGCCAGTGTTTGTGCGCAAAAGAGAAAGGATTACCGTCTTTGAGAAGGAAAAGGAAGAGTTGAAAGAAAGGGCACAAAAAGAGGCCGAAAGGCGTGCGGCCGACGAACGCAAGCGACAGACGCTTAAAATGATTGAAGACGACGTCCGACGAGAGGATCAGGAAAAGGAGGACAAGAAGGAAGAGGAGAGCATTAAGAGAGGGATCGCCACTGTGTTGACCGACGACGAGAACGAGGAGACGTCTTACGAGGTCTGGAAATTGCGTGAATTGAAGCGAATCAAGAGAGACAAAGACGAGTCCGAGGCCTTCGTTCGCGACAAACTCGAGGTCGAGAGGCTTCGGCTGATGACCGAAGAGGAGCGCCAACAGGAGCTGAAGAACAACCCGAAGATCGTGACGAATGCGGCGCCGAAAGGCAAATACAAGTTCCTCCAGAAGTACTATCACAGGGGAGTCTTCTTCCTCGACGAAGAGGATGAGGTGTTTAAGCGTGACTTCGCTCAGCCGACCCTCGAGGACCACTTCGACCGCACGGTTGTGCCAAAGGTAATGCAGGTGAAGAACTTTGGCCGATCCGGTCGTACCAAATACACGCATCTCGTCGATCAGGACACCACCGCTTTCGACAGCGCCTGGGCTGCGGAGTCCACACAATCCACCAAATTTCACACACAACAGGCCGGGGGTATGAAACAGGTGTTCGAACGGCCGCCCGGCAAACGCAAATGAACCACATTTTAGACATGTTTTTGTTGTTTTTAACCCAATTTTCTGTATATTATTCTGTATTCAGTATCACATAATCATTAGCCTCTCATAAGATATGAAATTGTTTTCATTTCTTTGTGTAAATATATTTACTTTTCAATTAATTGACGAATAAATTGAAACATTTTGTTAAGAATTTTCTGTAATTTATTTGTGATTTTTTTGTACTATTATTTTAAATTCAATTTTTTTATTGCAATTAATAATAACTCCCAATTAGAGTAATAATAATAATAAATCATATAATAATTATAATATTAACGAACAATTGTCTTATAAAATATAAATTTCAAATCATAATTGATTTTATGTTTACAATTAGTAATATTGAAGTGAATTTTAACTATAGATGTATATAAACAGTAGTTTTGCTTAAAGATTATAATTAATTAGAAAAATAGGAATAAAAAGATAGAAATAACATTGAAATGAATGAATGAATTGAATAAAACGTGGCATTCATTGAGAAAATGATTACAAAATAGGATTATAGGGCGAAATAATAGCAGTATTTTTTGTTGAGCTTTTTCTCATGAATATTCTTGAGAACAGAAAAAGTGAAAACAAATTTGCTTTTCATTCAATAAAAAAGGGAAAATTAATTTACATTTTAAAGGCTTGTTTAGCGAATGAATGTTTGATTTGTTTTATATATAAGTTTTAAACAACTTTTACTCAAATAATTCGTGTGTGAATTGAATAATGAATTCATTACTCGAATTGTAATATAATTGAGAGTAAAAAACAAATAATAAAAAAATTATTAATCAATCAATCATTCATTATTTAAATAACAGAATATATTATATATTTTTAAACCAGTGTTTCAGCAATTTATCGAGAAAAAAGTTATCATTTTTGTGGGCAATAAAATGTGCTCAAAAATTGAGACAAAATTAGTTTTAGAAACTAATAATAAAAAGTTGTTTTGTTGTCTATTATATCTACAAATATTCCTTAGGTTACACTCAATCCTATTATTATATAATCGCATGCTTTCCCTACGTTTGCAAACCTAACGTAAAACTATTGGTTTTTGGCGTAAGTTTAAAATATTAAATCAAATCAATTTGAAAGTCAGGTTAACTCAAACACACGACTAGTATTTTTTCAACTAAAATTTTTTCATATATTTTTCGTTCAAAAAACAACTAATTTTTAAATACATTCATATCTTTTGGAAAAGAATTTTATACAGATTTTCGTAAATATTTTTATGTTTTCATAACTTGTCTAATAAAAAATAAGGGCAAAAGTGTTTGTATTTATATATTTATCTATATTTATATATTATTTATAATAAACAATAATTATCTGAGAGTTTGTTGTTTTTTGATGAATTTGTGGCAAAAAAGTATATCCGAAGTCAGAATTTTGGTCAAAATATTCAATCCATAAATGTTTTGTTTGAATCAATATTCGTCAACAGATTCAATACAAAAGCGATTTGAAGCATAAAAAGTTGAATTCAATTAATTGAATAAAAAACAAATTCAAATATAATTTTGTTGTTTGCGTTGAGACTTAACTCCCGGAATGAAGACAATTATAGTTTGTTTGTTTGTTTTGTGGAAAATGATTGCATAGAAATGATGTCAAAAAAGAGTCCAACTACTACTTAATAAACATATTTTGCGGTTTGTTTTGCTTTTTCCTAATGAAAGTGGCGATCAAATCAATTTAAATCCCATTCCGTACACCAAATACCGTTCAATATGTGGTCTCTATCTCTTCAACTCTTCACTTAATTTTAAGTCAATTTTTTAAAACGAGTTTTTCATATACAATAGATTCGTCTATATATTTCTAGTATATCTAATTATATAATACAATATATAACTTATGTAATAATTGGACCAAAAATAATATGCATTTGAATCAAATGGCAGTTAATATATATTTATATGTCTAATAAATTCACTTATAGTTTGCGTTTTTTGTTTGTTATTTATCTCATAAGTGGTATTCAAATAGTAATGATTTTATGCCATATGAAAAAATGTGAGAGCAGTTTGTGTGCAATTATGACTTCCAATTCAATTGATTATTTACAACAATTTAATGGCATTTAAATCATAAGTAAAATAACAATTTTGTTGTGTTTTGTTTTCATCACTCGTCCTACACTTCATTGCAATTATACATATAGTTGTTGAGTGTCTTTTCGACATCAAAATCATAATTAATCTTATCTTCAGATTTGTTTCAATGGAAGGAATGTTGATATCAATGAGAGAAAAGCCAATAAATTCTTGAATTAATTAAAAAAAACAAAAACACAAACAGTTTTGGTGTTTTGGGAGATGAAGAGAAGCCACAAAGAGAACTAAAACTATTGTAATATATTTGTGTTTTTTAAAAATCACTTCAATTGATCGGATTATCTAATAAATTGCTGAAATACAAGCGCTGACCACCGGTTATACACATTATATATGAGGGACTGAGAGCAGAACAAACGTCCAGTTTTAATGTTATCTTTACTGCAATGTCTATTGTACTTGCTATAGCAGTGCATAATAGACATTGCAGTAAAGACAACATTAAAACTGGACGTTTGTTCTGCTCTCAGTCCCTCATATACGGCCGAAGGGGTCGGTGCTCTTAATAAGTGTTGTTGGAATCACAGAATCGAAGAGTTAAACAATTGTCGAAACACTTTATCCCCGATGTATTTAGTCTTCAATTAATATTAATTTATATTATATTATAACAAACTTATAGTAAAAATCATAACCAATTTATAATAGTGTCGGCGATTAATATGGATTAATATAGTT